GAAATCAAGATAAATTACATCAACAGAGTGTTTATTGTCCAGTGCTTTAAGAATCTTGTGATACACTTGGATTAACTGTGTTGTGCAATTTCTGCCTCGTAAGAAGCCATTATAAATGGTGTGCAATTCCGGAAATAGAGTCATAACACCGGTTGTAGATGCATTTTTCCAACACTTTCGAGACTATGCATAGCAGAGAAATCGGCCTATAGTTTTCAACGCAATGCACGTCGCCAACTTTCGGAACCGGAGTGACGTTCGCCTGTTTCCATATGGATGGAACTTCTCCTAATCTTAGAGAAAGGTTAAAAAGGCGTGTTAGCGACGGAGTTATTTCGTTTGCAACCGTCTTAAGAAGCCTTGCAGAGATATCATCAGGTCCACCCGTTTTCGTCTGGTCTAGGTTTAATAAACAATCTAGCACTTCACTCTCGTTTAAAACAATTTGACTTAGACTGTTGTCTACAATTTCACAATTTTCCTCACTGCGGTATTCATCACTAGATTCTGGAGAAACCCCTGAATTGAACACGGAGTGAAAAAAACTGTTCAGGAGATTAGCTTTATCCTTGCCGTCTGTGGCGAATACATTTCCGTATTTCAGAAATTGAGGAGTGCTATATGCTCTAGTTTTTGCTTTAATAAATGTCCAAAAACGTTTCGGATGTTCAGTTAAATTTGATTTGAGTTCGTTCAAATAATCCTTATATTTTACTTCAATAAGCTTTCCAGCATTTCTTCTAATTTCTTCAAAATTCTCAATGTCCGTATGATCACCCGTTCTCTTCGCTATTTTACGCATTCGATCTTTTTTATGCATCATCTGAATGACCTCTTTATCAATCCAAGGTTTATTATTATTATCCGATATTGCGACCTGCGGTACATGCTCGTTTGTTATTGTCAACAATAAGTCCATCCAATTAGTCACAAATGAATGGTTGTATAATATGGATAGCAGTGGCGTAACGTTATATCAGGGGGCCCCCGGTTCAAAATTTTCGAAGGCCCCCCTAGTAGAGGTGCCAAAGGCACGAGTCGAGTGCCGTATATGCACGAGTTCTCTAGGGGGTCCAGGGCATGGTCATCTGGAAAATTTTTGAATCTAGACTCTCTGAAATGCCATTTCCTGGACTTTGGGGAGAGATTTTACAGAATTCTGATGGTCATAAAACGACATTGTAACATATCAGAGGCCCTGGCCAATGTTTTTGCCCTATCGCCTAAGCCTGGGGGGCCCCATTTGGGTTGGGGGCCCCCGGGTTCACCCGGTCTGAGCCCATAGTAGTTACGCCACTGATGGATAAGGGCCTCTTTACTGGAGTCCTATATTCTTGGATCTTAAAAAGGCATTTGATACTGTTGATCATTCAATTCTATTAGCTAAATTAGAAAAGTATGGCATCCAAGCATTACCAGAAATATGGGACATTTTGCTCCTGCTTTTGTAGTCAGCGGCTAAGTCCGTTTTATATGCCCAACATTGCCTAATATAAATAAAACGACTTCGCATTTTACTTTGTATCTCCAGTTCAAGTATTATTCAACCAAAAACTGTGATTTTAAACTATATTTTGCAGTTTTTGCTGATCACTTCCGGTATTTTGAAGACTAAATATATTGCAAATATCCTAAAAATCCTAAAATATCCCTGTGTTTTTACGTGAGAGCCTGGAATCCAGTCTTTCAAAATAAACAACAAACATGGCAGCTCGAAACAGCTCAAATTTGTATTAAAACTTGTCGTTTTCGGATATTAAGATGGCCTAATGGCGACATACAAGAACCGTAAAAAGGCGAACTTTTAAACGTTTCGGAAACTAGTTTCCCTGGAAATTAGAGCGGATTTATTTAGCTAAATTAACAGTTTGGACATCATTAAATATATCGCGAGCTCCGCACTTTGCATCGTCCGAATGGATCTTGGTGTATTCGTCGGATATTTACCTCTTGTGTCACAAGTTTACTATAAATTACACTATGAAATTCATCGAATTGCGTGTAAAAATACAACATTCTCAGGAACTAGCTAGACGCGGTGCAATACTAGCGATTTTTGTTTAGAAATATTGCTTGTTCGTGTCGCTACTATAATCGAGCTCCGCAACCATGAAATATTTAATCCCATATAGTTTATAGTAATATTTGGTCGCCATATTTGGTCAAAGTGCGCATGTCCGTCGCCATCTTGTCCCATATTTCTGGTAATGGGGAAAAGCCTTGAATGGTTTAAATCGTACCTCAAGGATAGAAAGCAGGTTTGTTTAATTAATGGTAAGAAATCGTATGCAAATGATATTAAATGTGGGGTTCCACAGGGATCGAATTTTGGTGCCATCCATTTTCTTCTTTATATTAATGATCTCCCAAATTGTTTGAAAATGTCAAAACCTTCAATGTTTGCTGCATGACGATACAAATCTAACCTGTGTTGGACAAAGCTCGAGTGAAATTGAAACCAAACTTAATGAAGAGCTTGAGAATGTCCACCGATGGCTAACAGCAAATAAACTTACTTTAAACGATGAGAAAACCGAGTTCATGCTCATCGGCTCAAGATCACGTCTTGCCTGTGTCCATAATAGCCCAATATTGAAACTAGGACACAGACATAAGTAGTAATATAGAGGCCGTTCGACCCGGATTTTTGTGGTGGAGTGTGATGGAGTGTGGTGGAGTGTGGTGGAGGGAGGGTGCGTAATGACGTCACTCATTAGCATACGTCATAATTATATGCTATGACGTCACGTGGGCCTGTTCGGGCGAAATTGAACAAAATTTGCTGACTACGCATTTTTTAGCGTCCCTTCACGTTTATGATACAGCTCTGGCATTTTGCTGTTATTGTCAAGTGATTCCTTTAATTTAGCTCCTAGAGGAGTAAAAAAATCTGATATTATATCAAATAGCATTAGTGTTATATATCTAAAACTTATATATTCGGGGTATACAGCTATATGTTTTGTTGTTAAGTAATATATAAATATTAATCAAGCGTCAAAACGCTGAGAAATAGCATGCGGTAAGAGTTATGTATCTACAATTAAGCTAATATTTAAATCCCGATCTGCCATAGGAGAGAATATGTTGCTGTCAGAGTTATATAAACACATGGAAATTAGAGATTATGATATATAATTTTCAAGCGATTTCTATATTTTATTGCTAGTTTTTTAAAGTACTAAAACTCGGATAAGGTTAATAAATTTAAGCTATATTAAAGCACACCGGTTTCTATGTGCTGTTAGGGTGACCCTAATTAAAGGATTAACTTTTTATCAGAGATTTGCATTTTTCTACTGTGTGGATAAACACGGGTAGATTAGGATATTCATTGCGCGGGCGTCGCGGGTTATCCGTGCGGGAAGAGAGAAAGCGATTTAGACAAGACAGGAGCGCTTTGCAGCCAAAACTTGACAACGTACATGACCGCCTCATGATGAACGAAAACGAACGAGGGCAAATAAGGAATCTATTCGTCACAAAAATCATATTTTAAATATATTTTAGACATACTTTAAACTAAACAGTTTCTAATCCCGAGTTGTCAACGTCGTTGTTAAGGTCAATATTTACATGTTGTTCAACGTTATTTTAGCAAATATTCTACATACATATATACTGTTAAGATGACCGAGTCAGATCATAAGTAAGCTTATCAAGAACATAAGTTAGAATTGGAACAGTTGTAATATATTTTGCAATAAAAACATGTAATCGTTATATACGTTGTTATTTGTTGCTAAGTCATTAGCGACGCTTGCGTGCATGCATATATTAACGTACAACATATTTGTACACTAATCAGGCGGGCGGATCGCGCGGGTGGAAAAGCGGGCTTTGCAGGCAAAAATTTACACAAGATTTCAGTTTTACAATTATTTCTTCAAAATGTTTTAACAAAATTTAGTACGGTCTACTTTTAAGAGCGTAACGTCTAGGTGATTCTTGCTTATCTTCTGGGGATAACCTAAGATATCGAATGATATCCTAAGATACTGTATGATACCCTAAGATATCGAATGATATCCTAAGATACTGTATGATATCCTAAGATATTGTATGATATCCTAAGATATTGATATCCCAGCTAAGATATTGATATCCTAAGATACTGATATCCTAAGATACTGATATCCTAAGAAAATGATATCCTATGGAAATGATATCCTAAGATACTGATCAGCTCCTTAGGCTCGGAGCCAGCTTCTTGGGCTCGGAGCCACCTCCTTAGGCTCAGAGCCAGCTCCTTAGGCTCGGATCCAGCTCCTTGGGCTTGTGACGAATAGATTCCTTATTTGCCCTCGTTCGTTTTCGTTCATCATGAGGCAGTCATGTTGTCTTTGACTAGGATGACCGACTTGACAGTTGACAACCATTACAGGATTCCACACAAAGTCTTTCAAGTTTTGGCTGCAAAGCGCTCATGTCTTGTCTAAATCGCTTTCTCTCTTCCCGCACGGATAACCCGCTACGCCCGCGCAATGAATATCCTAATCTACCCGTATTTATCCACACAGTAGAAAAATGCAAATCTCTGATAAAAGTTAATCCATTAATTAGTGTCACCCTAACAACACATAGCAACCGGTGTGCTTTAATATAGCTTAAATTTATTAACCTTATCCGAGTTTTAGTACTTTAAAAAACTAGCAATAAAATATAGAAATCGCTTGAAAATTATATAACATATATATATATCGTTTATATAACTCTGACAGCAACATATTCTCTCCTATGGCAGATCGGGATTTAAATATTAGCTTAATTGTAGATACATAACTCTTACCGCATGCTATTTCTCAGCGTTTTGACGCTTGATAATATTTATATATTACTTAACAACAAAACATATAGCTGTATACCCCGAATATATAAGTTTTAGATATATAACACTAATGCTATTTGATATAATATCAGATTTTTTTACTCCTCTAGGAGCTAAATTAAAGGAATCACAGCAAAATGCCAGAGCTGTATCATAAACGTGGAGGGACGCTAAAAAATGCGTAGTCAGCAAATTTTGTTCAATTTCGCCCGAACAGGCCCGCGTGACGTCATAGCATATAATTATGACGTATGCTAATGAGTGACGTCATTACGCACCCTCCCTCCACCACACTCCACCACACTCCACCACACTCCACCACACTCCACCACACTCCACCACACTCCACCACACTCCACCACAAAAATCCGGGTCGAACGGCCTCTATATTACTACTACTGACATATAAAACGTGTATACTATAAAAAAGTCACTAGGTATGGTCCTCAATGAGCAGTTCAATGCGAAAAAATTTCCAATAGTATAGCTCTGCTAAAAAGAGCTAGACTTTCGTTCCTAGACACACATTAATTAAAATGTATAATGCCTTTGTTTTGCCTCACTTTAATTATTGCTCTACAATATGGAACGATGGATCATGTACTATAATTAATAAACTTTCAAAATTACAAAGGAGAGCTGAGCGTGTAATTACTTCAAGTACATACGATATTCGTTCCTTCCAAATCTTGAAAGAACTTAATTGGAAACCAATTGAAGATGAATTAAAAAATAGGGAAACTGTTATGACATTCAAAGTTTTAACCGGGCAAGGACCGGATTATTTACAGCAATTATTTACTGAGTGCAATAACGATAATTACAGTCTAAGTAGCCTGCGTAACGGCTCAGAGAAAGTAGAGCCTGCACGAAACCCCCTGCTTTGCCATTTCCGCCCACTTAGCCTGCGGGCTACGCCCACTTTAAACAGATGTCAAAATTGGCCAATCACACAGATTGTTTACGTTTGCAAATTTACTTATCAAAATGAAATATAAATATAGATTGCTGTATGTTCGCAAATTTCAAAACGAAATACTGTAATATACGGATGGCGGCTAAAGAAAATTGAAGTCTGTGGGAATAGCGCTAGGCCTAGGGCAATCTCCATCGTTGTCACAAGTAGTTTGCAGTCCGTATCTACGATATTTCGTAGCTTTCTCGCACACGTACAAATAGAATTTATAGTTTCGACAGCGGTCAACCGTGATGTATTAAATGTTAAAGTTTCGAGCGATGCTGATAAGAGAATATTAAAGGTGTTTAAAGCCATCACTTCACAGAGAGCAAGTCCTGTTCATAAGACATAAGCATTTATAGCAATTCTCTCCTGGCACAAAATTATTAGCTACAAAATCATGAAGAAAAAATCTATTTGTCGTCGATGAATTTATGAAAACGAACACGCTCGTGAGTTGTGAAAGAGGCGCTGCTAACAGACAGCAATCCAACGAAGACACCACAGTCAATATCTCTAGAGCTTCGTGAACCAAGTTCGTAAATAACTTTAATGTTCAACCGTAAATCGTGGCTTTTAAGTTCTTTTGAATGCAAAACTCAAAGAAACGCCTCTCAATAATACATCCGCCGTGTTTGTATCAATTTTAGCATAAATTAGCATATTTTTTTCATTTTGAACCAATCAGATTTCTCGTCCTCTGAGAGAACGAGTAAATACGGCAAAGCAGGGGGTTTCGTGCAGGCTCTACTTTCTCTGAGCCGTTACGCAGGCTACAGTCTAAGAAGTAATAACACCAAATTGGCACTCCCAAAACCAAGGACTAATTTCTTAAAAAGAAGCTTCTCATATAGAGCGGCAAAGTCCTGGAACGAATTATCAATTGATATAACTGAAGATTTCTGTGAGCTATCAGTTAACGCTTTCAAACGGCGACTTGATAAAACCGCTTAATTGGTTGGATCATTTGATTATACATTAATTATACCTTAATTTAGTATTGTATCATAGTAAATATGATTTCGTTTTTATTACACGGCCCTTTGAAAACCAGTACCTCTTGTAAATATAAAGTTAGTTTTTAATAGTTACTGAATAGGCTACCGTGTGTAAAGATTTTGATTATTAATAATAATTGGCTGCTATTTATTTTTGTCGGTCGTCGTAATTTTCTTATTTGTATTTGATAAAAGTGTACGATCGAAACTGGAATGCTGGAATAAATCAATATAAAAGCTGGAACTGTTTCAATCGTCGTGAACATTTCTTCATACAAATATAATCAGTCATTTTCGTCATTTACGCTAGCGGCTAAGTCGAGGAATGCACATTTGCCCTACGCCATCTTGAATTATGCGCAATGACCTGGGTCTCAGTTATGATGTCATTGTATCTATCATGAATGATGTCAATCTCGAAACCAGAGCCCGCAATCCTCTGTGGAGGCTTGCTGAGGCTCTGGGAAACACCGGCGACTTTTCCACGAAAATCAGTACATTTGGATCCAGTACTCCGCTCGACATTTATAAATAGACATTACTGCCGTCAAACATGAATTATGCCGTTGTTTAAGCTTATTACGACTTTAATTCTTCAAAGAACACTTGCCATGGTTTTGAATTGTTGTAAAAATACTGGTAGTGATTTATTTTAACTTGTTTAATTACGGTAAATCATGGATTGTTGTGTTATTTTAAATATTATAGGCAACGGCTTATCATCACCTAATATGGTAATGCTGCACTGTTGTTATTCTAATTTTGTTATTTATAGCATATCAATATCAGAAATAGAATTAGAAAATTAAACGAGACTTACCTGTAAGGTGAAGTTTGATTGAGATTCTACGAGTTATTGGTTAGGAGCGAAGGAGTCACGTGTGAGATAGCGCGGGAAGGATCGAGCGGCAGTCTTTAAAGGGAGTGCGAATGGTCATGCATTGATATTTAGTACCCGCTGTAAAGCCGTAGGGCTGGGTAAAACCATAGGGTGGGTCCGTGACTCCTTCGCTCCTAACCAATAACTCGTGGAATCTCAATCAAACTTCACCTTACAGGTAAGTCTCGTTTAATTTTCTAATTCTACTTCGTCATTGATTAGTTCGCTACGGAGTCACGTGTGAGACTTTAAAGTAATGACCATGAGCACTGTAACTTTGCTTTAATAACAACAATATCAACACGATACGTGCTTAATCAACGTTAACAATTTTTAAGAGTCTATGACCAAAATTTTCTTTTTGATTACTTTCAATTTGTTTGTCATAAAATATACTGAATGTTTTCGTGTTCGGCTACCCAGCTGCGTCCATAATGGTACTAATTGGCATGTTGCCAACTTTTGCTGCAGATGTAGATGCTGATCTTGTGCTGGGAGCACCAAATACCTTAATGTCTATGCCTGCTTTAGTTAAAGTCTTTTTGATCCAGTTGCCAATGGTTTCTGATGAAACTGGTTTATGTGGTTTCTGGTAACTCAAAAGTAGTCGAGAATTGTTCTTTCTTAAAGATAGCGTCCTTGCCACATACTCTTTGAGGACATTTACTGGACATATCACTTTGTCTGCTGTAAAAGCTTTGATCTCAATCTTTCCAAAGTGCTTTCCAGGTCGAGAGGTTTTTAACAGTTTATTTATATGAAAGGACCACATGTCATCACTCTTAACCATCTATTCAATGTTCAAGACCTGTATGGTCTGGCAACGCTGTCCAGTAACACGGGCAAGCAGCATGGTTGTCTTCATAGTCAGATCTTGTAGAGAGAGTTGTGTATTTTCACCCAAAGATTTGAGATATTTTATAATCACAGACACATCCCAGATCTGTTTATAACGTGGTAGTGCTGGTCTATTTACAAATACTCCTTGCATATATCTGGTTACCAGTGGATGGTTTCCAAATGTGAAATTGTCTATTGGTTGGACAACGCTGGATAGAGCTGAGCGTACCGTATTTAATGTGCTATAGGATAATCCTTCCTTGTGAAATTCATCTAGGAAATCAATTGCAGTCCCTACATTTGGAGAAATGGGATTGATACTTCGTTTACAACAGTGCTGTTCCCACTTTTGTAAATAGTATTTGTACTGTTTTTGAGTCCCCGGTCTCCATGCTTGTGCGATGATTGAAAGCAGCTTCTTTTGAAATTTCTTGACTTTCAAGTAATCCCCCGATAAGTGGCACATCAGTAATCGCAACTTCTTTTGTAGAGGATGTATCTTCTGAGGATGGGATGGTAACATCAGTGTTGTTTGTGTGCTAGGCAACATAAGGGGACAATTTATTAACATATTGGTTAGATATGGCCACCAAGACTGGGTCGGCCAGTGTGGAATTACTATTATGCCTGTTGCCTTCTCTTCTGATATTTTTTGTAATACTTGGTTGATAATGCAAAAAGGTGGGAATGCATAAAAACACATGTTTACCCAAGAGATATGAAAGGCATTTATGGCTTGAGCCTCAGGGTCAGGTCTGAATGCAACATAAGGCTTGCATTTATAGTTTAGCCTTGAGGCAAACAGATCAATACTGGGTGTCACCTCCAGTAATTGGATTGCTTGATCATACACTTTTTGGTTTAGGGCCCACTCAGTATCATTGGTACCCCTCATCGATTCAAAATCTGCAATGACATTTTCTTTCCCTGGGATATGTGCTACAGTAATCCAAATGTTATTCTTAATGCAAAAATCCCATATCTCCTTTACTAAGAGATGTATCTCCTTGGAGTGACTAGTTCCCATATGATTTATACAGCAGACTGCTGTTGTGTTGTCCGATAGGATTTTTACATGCTTCTGACAAATATGATCTACAAATGATTTTAGACTGAGTAATTCTAGCCAGTTAATGTGTTTCTCCGATTCTCCAGAGTCCCATGAGCCACCTGTAGGTGTGCCAGCTAGGGAGCAACCCCAACCCGTTTTTGAGGCATCTGTGGTCATGGTTGTGTCAGCTTGTCCGTGACTAACCACATTGTATGCACTTTCAATTGAGCTTACCCACCAGCTCAGCTCGTGCTTAGCCTCATCTGAAAGAGTCATGGTCTTATTATAATTGCCTTTTCTTATTTTCAGGGCCACAGTTTTATCCATATCTAAGTGCCGATAATGTAATGGCCCAAACATTACTCCTGGGAAGCTAGCTGTTAACATGCCAATGACTCTAGCCACTTCCCGTATTGTAGGTTGAGGAGATTGTAGAAGCTTTTGACAAGCTTCCTTAATTTTTTGTGTTTTTTCTCCTGTAAGGCTGATAATCATTTTTATGGAGTCTAACAGAGAACCTAGGAATACAAGTTTCTGAGTAGGGTATAGGATTGATTTCTCAGGGTGTATAACAAGGCCCACTTGGTCAAGTAATGTAATAGTATCTTTCACATTTTTAACACACAGATTAAAGTCGGCACCTTGTAAATAAGAGTCATCTATGAATATTACAGATAGATGACCTATGCTTCTCAAGTTTGAGAAGACAGGTTTAAGGAGTTTTGTGAACTTCCTAAGGCAAATTGCCAGTCCATTTTGGGAACATGTATACTGATATAGTTTTCCTCGCCATTGAAATTTCAGGTATTTTTTATGGTCTTTGTGAATCGGGACAGAGTAGTATGCGTCCTTAAGATCAATGGATGCCATAAAGCATCCCGGACGCATCATACGTATAGCAGTCCAGATTGTGTCCATTTTAAAATGTTGGTATGTAACAGATTGGTTTAAATATTTTAGGTTTAAAATCATGCGATGTGATCCATCCTTCTTAGGTCGAAGGAATATGGGTGAAATGTATTCATTAGGCTCATGTGTAGATTCTACAGTGACACCTTTTTTCAACAAGTTTTGGATTTCAGAATCAATAAACTGTCCTTGTTGACATGAGTTGGCCCGCCTTAAAATTGGCAACCTTGTGTTCAAGTATTTAATAAGCGATGGCACGAGAGACTCGTATTCGCTTACCTGTGTTTGTGAAAGTTTTTGAATTGCTTCTGAGTCTATTTCTTCATTGGCACAAAACGAGCCCGGTTCTTGCCGGCCTTCCAAACCCTGTCCTCTATTAACTATGACTCCATGAAGAAAAGACAAAGCTAAAATGATCTCAGCAGGTTGCAGTATTCAGTCAACAAACAATGTTTTATAACCAATACATTTTTTTGTGATTAGGCTGATAGATTTATCCTATATATTAAAAGTTTATATATATACAATTTTATATTGTGACTGAACAAAAAATGGACGCGAATGTTGTAAATGGCTTAAAAAATTACTCATCTTATGAGTTCATTGGTGAAGTAACTTTAAAAATAAACATTGTCTATGAAGCCGAAAAAATCAAAGTTAAAGTTTATGTAAATCAACACACTAAATGAGTATTTGGTAACAAACTACTGGAATTTCACACAGATCCTATAATACTGAGATCCTTTACAATTAAATTGTTTTTACACAATGCAATATAATGCATATATAGACATGCAACTGAAAGTAACTGTTTGCAGCATTGTTCCATCTTCACTTTATTCTGTCTCTATAGGATCTAAAAAGCACAGAAATGAGATACGTTATTTTACAACTTTCAATTTCTTTTAAATTTATTAATTTAATCTGCTTCTTTGGAATAAAACACCATTGAGGTCTTCTCAGAAGGGTGATAATTAATAATCATGACTATGACTTTAATAAGGAACATATTACACAAGCAGGGATGGTATATATTCTCACAAGGCATTGCGTTTAAGCACCCACCATTAACATAAATAAGGTCACTACAACGCACCTGCTATTTTTTCTACCACAAATCGTGTCAAATCTCACAAGCGACATAATTTGTTTGCGGTGATATGAGTATATTATGATCTTGTCCATATTAAAATTCACCATTTCCAAAACAATAAAGTTCATGACCAATTTCCTCATTTCTCATGTGTTAACTTATGGTATAATTCACCGATCTCTATCAGAAATTCCCACTTGAAAGGTGTTGTCACGACTGTATTCATGATTCATCTCAGTCGCACTCAGAAACGTCGTCAAAAATATAGACACGTTTCTTTACGATTGAGTTCATTTGAATGTAAAAGAGGTCCCCAACATTCTTGAACATGTGCTTTTGCTTAAAATACCATATTTGACTTGATTTATTCCTCTATTGCGAGAGAACAGAACAAAACTGTTGAAAATACCGTATTAATCACAATAGCTCACTCCTCAAGGTGGTCACAGTAAGATGGCGGCCGCGCGCGACTTCCGGCTTCAATTTCTGTATCTATAGTTGCGCTCTCCATGTATTTATAGCTCAGTGATGTGCACCAGTGAAATGTGCACCTCGATGGCAATTGCTAGATAGTATACTTCAAAATAAGGTTTTCATTTTTATAGCAATTTTTGTATCTGCGAAGCAGATATATTGCCATCGTGCGTGTACCGGATGTTTGTAAGCGTGCTCATAGCCAATCAACGACAGCGTATAGATGAAATGACGTAATGATACTAATTTCAAAATGGCGGTTTACTGAAGGATGAAACAAAAGGCAATTTGTGAATTTATGATTGAAATTATACCAAACGCAGTTTAAAACAACGTCATTTGACTAGTCTGAATATGACAAATGTCGATAGTGCATTTTTGGCAAGCATTTGAAGGATTTCATCATTTAATACGCAGTGGAAACGAACGGATTCATTCGCAATTTTTGACAAGAAAATCATTTACTAATGGCATTGAGAATACTATTATGAAACTATGAAAATAATGATTCTTCCACATGTTGCCTTTTGTAGGTGTATATCGAGTTGTAAGTGTTGATGTTTATGTACTTCTCAATTTAACATTTTCATTGGTGACTTTAGTTAATATAAATTAGTTGAATGAAACCAATAGAAGGCTATATAATTTCGTAAGGTTACATAATTTCTTTATCAATGATCATAACTATAGACAATTGGTGTCTGCTTTCATTACAGACAAAGCAGACTTTGATATATCATTTTTATACAAATTACAAATTTAGCAGAGTCAGAAGCTAAGTCACACATATTGGAACCCTGACTATGGCATTTTCTAAAATGAAATAGATCAATTAGAAACAGCAGAAATGTTGATGTTATGTATCAATTATGGTATAAAAAGGCTTTCAAAACTCTGCAAATGTATATTGGCACCACCTGTTATCCTGACAACTTCTATGCAAAGTTTATTATGAACTATCAAGAAGATTTGGAACCCGAAATGTTTTAACAAGAACACAGGGATGTATTTACTAGGGGGTGGGGGTGCGGGGGTGTGCATCCCCCCCTAGCCTTGGCAGGAGGGGGGTCCTATTTTTCATGATAAGCAAAAATTATTAGAGACAAAATGAGATACAGAAATTTGAGTATTAATATGATGATAGGTGAACTGTGAAAAACAATTACAATTCAAATACTGTAGTCAAGCAAGACTTTGAATAGCGAAGCAAGTTGATGGG